GGCGACACTACGGGCGTCGGGGATCGAGGGACGATCTCCGGCCACCGTAAGTACGGGCCTGCGGTCGGCGAGTAAGGGCAGCTCGCCGCCCGACCAGAACCAGGCCCGAGCGTACGGCGCGTAGCGTTCCGCGCGCGCCTCAAAGAGCCAATAGACCACCACAGACGGGGCCCTAAAGGGCTGATGTTCAGCCGGGGTTGCGGGGTAAGCGCAATAAGGTACCGCGACCTCGGCACAGAGCAGGAGAAGGAACAGGGGGGTTTTTAGTCAGTAAGAGTCTGACACTCCCTCCTGCCCGGCCCTGGGCGGGAGAAGTCATTTGATGATTTTCCCCTCACAAAAAAAAAAAAAAAAAAAAAAAAAAAACGCTTATTCGGGGCGGATTGGTGATTTCAAAATTATTCGAACTTAAACTTATTGTTTCTCGTTATAAAAAATATAATTCTCCGTTTCCTTACAATGCTTACCTTCACCGTGTATTACCGGTGTCTGTCTACTAAGTAATATAAATAAATGTGGAAAACGCCACATTGGAACTGCTTGTCTGCGACCCTCTCCCTCATGCATGAGAAGCGAAAGTAAAGAACCTTAACCTCCGGGCCACCACAAGGTAACTGCAACAACTTGAACACTACTTTCATATTTTCCATGTCCGTCAAAGTCCTCAACTATATACTTATATGACATAATATTGAGAACACACATAACTACATAGATAAGTAGCTTCACGCTATTTAACTAGGTGCAAACTAGTAGTACACTAGTTTTGTCATACTCACTCCGGTGCACCTACTTACTGTGACTACTACAAGTATATTTAACTTAGTAGTTCCTCATGTCTTAGGTGCATATTATGCTACAGGGTCTTATGTAACGTTACGCTTATATCCCTGAGAGGGGTAGACAGGGCATGTAGTTCAGGGATATTTTTAACAAATTGTGATTTTATTGACAACAATAAAGTTAAATCATATTGTTTTGCCTTATGTTTGTAGGAACCCATTGTCAAATTATTTCATTTGCCCTCGCTCACTCACCATAGTGTTTCTCACGAAACGTTTGTCAGAAACTAGATTTCCCGTGCCTAGGTTTGACCAAGGCACAAAGCCGCAAGAGCAGAGGCGAGACAATCAAATCGTTTGCATCCAGAAACCCAGTGACTTCCTACTAACTCAATTTAGTTCAATAACATAACTTGAATGATAATTAAATATGTAGCATGGCAAATCCATCCGCCTGTCCGCCAGGCAATCTTGTAAAATATTCAATCAACCTTGTTGGGTAACTAAACAGAATAACCAATTAGATAGCTACTCCTCGCCTAATATTCATTACTTACACTATATATACATATATATCTATATCATTGTAGTGTAACTAAGACTATTGTTAGTTCGCGACACAATTGTGATGAAAACGCTAATTAGGTTGACTGTGCATTCTGACGTCGATTCGATTACATATGTTATATGTGCAGATCTGCAGGTGCACGGCGCGGCTCAGGATGCGATCAGACTTACAGCTTAGCTATGCATGCGTAAGCACGTCGTCGGAAGTCGAGACGATGTCGACGTGTGTCCCCACCCTAACACTGTATTTCTGCAATCGATGAGACTTTTCCGTCGCAAAGACTCACTCCCCTTCACCAGTCTACGACATCCGACATCCATAAATGCATGTATTGTTCAACTTTAAAACAATAATTTCTATGCAATCCTGTCGTCGTTGGTTCAAGCAAATCGAAATAAAGAATGCTAGTTTATTTCAATATCAAATACTCACAGTACATTTACAAGAGCTTTTTACTTTCAATACTTTGTTGGCGTACAATATTATTATAATGTTAGCGTGTACTTTATAACAAAATAAAACATTACCTAATTCTCTGTTGGATAAAATATCCACATATATGGCTTAACTTAATGAAGGTATATCAGTTAACAAGTAAACGAAGTAACTTTAACATGGAACGTGAGAATCTCATTAATATAATGATCGAGTTCGCAAATAAAACATAATACAATGTTAATGACCCGTTAAAGTTACTTACCTGTTCCCGCCAACCTTGCGGTTTCATGGAGTCAACTACGAGTTTTCTGGTAAAGAGGGTAAATGAGCTTGTCTATGGCGCCCTCTCGTGACCTCCCGACGAACAAAACGACAAAGAGAAGTACGGCAACATTTACAGAGAAAATGGCCGTGGGGCAGTCAGGGCGACCCTCCACCCTTTGTTTCCTTAGAGCGGCTCGCCGCGCCGCTTGCCGCCCAACTTGCCGAACCTTCCAACGAAATATGTACGTAGCGATTTGTGGCCTTTGTCCTAACATATTAATGCGAATTCCAAAACGTATATTTATTAACTTTCGGGAGGTCCGCGTGTAAGTAGGTATTTAAATTTACAACGAAAATTCCTGCTTTAACAGCGTTGTTTATGTTTTACATACGTTATGTTAAAGTTGTCGTCAGCTATTCGTACATACTACATACATAATTTAATAAAAGTTGTTGAAGAATGCTCGATTTTTTGCGAGAGCATCCGTTGTCTGCGGAGGGTGGCCGCGGCACGGCAGCGCAACGAGCGAGACGCACACCGCAGGAATTTCTAAATCTTCATAAGATAATGGATCGCTCCACGAAAGAAAAGGACCTCTCCGGCTTGGAACTTTGTTGAATTCCTGACTCGTAATTAATAAAATTACTTTTTGGGAGCTTTCCTCGACTTCAAAGAATTTTAGCATAAAAGAAAAAGTTAAGTAGATGAATTATTTTTGAATGATAAAGGGAATAATTTTGGATATTTATACACTTAGGAGTTGAGTTATTCTGAAGATTTCCATCATCGTTTTGAATATTATAAACCGACGCCTCGAAAATTTTTGTTTCGAAAAAATCAGAGTAAATGGTTCCTAGATCCTTGCATTTCCCCCCAAAATAGTTGCAATGCGGACACACGTATAAATTATTAGCAGTAGTCTTAAAGAAAGCTCGAGTCTGCTCTCAAGGGTAAATTGCATTTAGCGAGGACTATCAAGAAAGTATTTACCCTGCAATTGAACTCTACGAGATTTATAGGATTTCTCTCGACGCATATTCTCGAGAGCGCTTTTCTTTTAATTTCTTATTCTTCGTATGTTTGCTTGGTGCTTCAACTGCGCAAATATTGGTCTTCACTATAAAATATATTTTATTATCATTGCTATTAAAGTGAATTGTGAAGTTCTATGAATGCTAGTATGTTGGCAAAGTGGTGATACCGAACAAATAGTTTGTATAACATTTGTCTGTTATGCGTTGGAGAGATAAGTGGAGGACTTTATCTTCAAACGGATTCGGATAACTAAGGGTCACTTCAAAGGGAAAGTGTTAACTTGCAGCGAACGTCAGTGGATTGTATTAGTCGAAGGTCGTAGTTATCTGCGGCCGGTGTGACGATAAGCGCCCGCATGGCATACGATGGTCGTGGAGTCACGCGACAAGCACACAGTCGTGGCTGTCGTCAGTCGCAGTGCAACGACTGCTGGTTTAATTCGTGAAGCCACATAAATCCCTGTTTGATGAGGGTGGCGCGCTTTCATTAGATACGGACTCGGTGCTCCGTGGCAATCGCTGTCGATGATAGCGAGTCATTGTCTCTTGGTACGTCAATCCGTTGCTCATGTGTGTTTTATCGTTTGTAATTTGATTGTCGGTGATTAACTACAGTTAGTTCAAAGGTCTTAGTGTTTCTAATTCAAAACTGGAATTTTCATTTTATTGACAGCAATATTTATGCTATTTTATTTGATGATAATGTCTAAGTTATGAAATTTCCCCAACAACATCAAATTACCTTTCCGTTATGTCCTTGAAAAACAAATAATACATTACACACGTAGCTAAGTCGTAACCAAATAATAATTCCAACAACACATCATCATGTGACATATGAAAAAGGCTTTTAAAGTAATCAATCAATTGGTTAGGTTGGTTCACTATGCTTATGGCGTGGTTCTGCTCATACGACGTGTCAATATGGTGTTCCACCTCGCGTACAAAGCCACCTGTCATGAAGCGAACATTTATCACAATTCTACCGAATTTCCTTTAAGCTTACAAAGATATCGGCTTCCATGTAACTGTGTGGGCGGATCGTGTTATCAACGAAAATATTTCATCACATTGTGCGACGTATCATATAGATAGATCTTTGTAAATCAAATCCACACCCCACAAAGTGACTGATACAATAGACCAAAATGCAGCGTAAAAAGGTTTTTTTTACTTATCCGATAACACTGATTTTCACTTATCATTCAGGTATGGGTGCATGACTTTGATGTTTTTATTAAATAAATCTAACTTTAATGGTATACAGATGGAAATAAATATTTCGATAATCATGTTACATTACAACTTAGATGTCAGTGATTCGTTAGAAATTTAACATGAACCTGTTAAGAATATTTAAATATTTTTCATAACAATTGATAAATAATGCTTCAAAAGTTTGAATTTATGAAAACAAGGGAAATCTGAATCCTGACCCTTTTTTTCACTAAACGAACCAAAAACCTTGTTCTACCAAATTCATGTCTGCAACACACGTAATTAAAGTCAATAAACTCGACCGCTGGACTAGAACGACAGACAAATAAAACAGCACAACGAAGGCAGTAAAATCCAAGACAAAATGTTCATAAGTCACAAACAAGATAGCCACCATTGAGGTCATAGAACGAACTGTTATTGTCTTACTCACACTTGAGTGGCATGGTAGCGGTACACAAGGGTGGCCTACACAGGCTTAATTGAATAAACCTAACTGCTTGTGATTCAGGGAAGGTAATATCAGGTGCCTCCCTCGCTTTTGAAAAACAATAACCGGGGAACATTGCGCGGAAACCTTTATACAAAAGAGAGTCGCTCAATGAAGTTGCACGCCGAAGAATTTCCATGCAATAACGGGGCATAGCCTCGGCGAGGATTCTTGTGGAGCGCGGCCGGAGATATTGCGTACTTACTGGGCTTGCCTCTAATAACACCGCCGATACCGTTTGTGTAAGGAGAAAAATACGAAATGAAATGGAAACTACCAGACGCCTTATGGTTTCCAATCTCGACTAACATTACACGAAGGTAGGAGCTATTTCGCATTTTAATATTCTATGAAGATTGAGAATAAATCGTCAAATTTTCGTATAACAGAGGCAATCAGGGTTTCTGAAGAAGCAAGGGATTCTTTTGGATAAATACTTTTATTTTATTTTATTTTATATTCTTATGATGTATTAATGAATGTTCATGATATTTAACGTTACTCTATAGCATTTTCTCTTTTATCGTAAGTTCCGACATATTATATTTACTACATTATTAAACTTAAATTTTAAAATGGTTAACAATAAATATTATCCACATTTGAAATTCTACTGAAATCTATTTGAAATTCTACTGCTGCGCAAAGACCTCTTTTTACACGGCGAAGAGTTGAGCGTTAATCATGGTGGTCGCCCAAGGCGGTCTGAAAACCATACAAATTTATAGGTACAGGTTTTCCCACGATGTTTCCCTTTACCGTTTGTCTACATATAACTCAGAAAACGTCACATTAGTACTCGTCAGGAGCGAACTCGCACCCTCATGCATGAGAGAAGAGCGCTTTAACCTCCGAGCCACTTCGACATATGTTGGTTATATCTTTGTTGATACTTTAAATGTCTTTTTAAACATTAATATAACCGCATTTGAACCAGGCTATGTATTAAAACTATTAAAATCTTACCAATATATGTATAAATACAGCACAATGTCTACCTTAAGACGCAGTAATGTGAATACATTCACAGTTGACAAGGCACGAGTCGACGTCTCAGCGATCCAAACTTGTCCGTGCCTAGCCCGCCCTTGACTGCTCTTTAAGAATTCTCAAGCCTTTAGCTCCTCTATCTACTTACTAATTTAATTAATATTATTCACTTCGTCAGGCATAGTCCGTATGTCGGCTTTCAGACGATGAATAGATCTCGCATATTTGCAGAGCTGTATACAAAATCACTCAACCCGAAATTAATCAAAACCGCTTGATTGCGCACGAAAAATGCTTAGCAGTTTAGTTTACATATTTTTTTCCATCCACAAATCAGCATAAAATTAGGACTCGTGAAACATGTTGTAAATCTTTTCTGTGACACGCAACGCATAGCAATTTGTTACCGTTATTAATTTTAACGTTACTTTTTATAAAACGAGCGAAAATACGTCGTCACATTTGGCTTTTTTGTACAATAGCGGAAAGTGGGAACGGCAATTAACCCATCACTAACAGCGGTAGTAGACAGACACATCGATTACCAAATTCCGAAAATGCATTTATGATGCGACGTAGCCGTGCATTAAAGCTCTGCAAATGGCATCACGTGGCGAGACTAATCACATTAGTGCCCATCGCAAAGGTAATGCCGGTAACAACCTAAAAAGCCGCCATTTGCATGTCAGAGCGGACCTCAGGAACTCGCACTACACTGCAACGTAAATTATTCACTCTCATATGAATCTCATATTGGAGATGGATACTAAACTTTGTACTCAACGTTAGTTATAAATAAAAGATTTCCTCGGAACAAAACAAATTTGAAATTCTCATAGAATGGACTTTTGGAAAATGTTTATGTAATAGCTGTTTATGTATATATGTACATATAAATTGCCGGGTAGTAACTGAGAAAAAATATTGTGTGTCATTATTGTTTTAATAAATACTTATTTTTTATTGGACGCAGGACTATATAAAGGTTTAAATTCCTTTTGGCCGTAACGGCAAGCTGTTTAATTTTATTTTATTTCATGGGCTATTAAAAGTACGTGAACAATAGAGGAAAACACAATGAACAAAGAGTTAAATGAACGTGTACGTGCATTTGTATGATCGAATGAACAATCAGGTTTGAAGAATTACTATTGCATCAATTCGCACAGTTTTCTCACCTGAATTTCTCGTTTATTCGTGTCGAAATAAAATTTATAAAAGCAATTTGAATTTCGAGAAATTTTGTTGATGTATAAAATTTTCTCTTTAAAGTATTTTTGTTGAAACGATATTGTTGTTAGATAGATAATAATGTATTATTTTCAGAGTACAATGTTACTCTAATTTAGCAAAGTATGCAGAAGAGAAACATATTTTGAATAAAATTTAACCAAAGTTTATTTTGTAAGAAAAAAGCACATGTACATGTGAACGTACTTATTTTAGTCTACTACGCACAATTAAACGGATAAAAGTATAGCAAAAAAACGAAATAAATTTTGACAAATTTGTAATTAGGTACCTATGTTATAAATATGTTTTAGGAGCATCAATATTTTATATCATAAAACTTTAAGAACAATAGGCTTGAATCACCATCAATTTATTCACTAAAAACACGAAATATTTTCAGTGATATATATCTTAAAATTCGTGGAAATCGCTGAGTTTTATTAATGCATTATTTATGTATTCAGATATGTCATAAATGCAAAACCTTTTATATCATTTAAAAACGCATGCAAGTGAAGAGATTGTATAAAATAAGTCATGTCTAAAGTTAGTGTCTGGAAAAATATATTAATTCTTCAACCTATTTAAAAATAATGCATTAAATACAAATAAATTAAATCGTAGCTTAACAAATAAATTACAAGTACTTAAAACCTACTAAACAATAAAAGTTAAGGATTTTATTTTTATTATGTTGAAAACTAATTAAATTCATTTAAATTTTATTTGATATATCGTTTTAAGTAGGCAAAATCAGTATGATCGCTATTGATATTAGATATTATAAAAAAGTATGTAAATAGTTATGACTATCGCCATCTGTTGTGACAAGTGTGTAACGTAGATTCTCTATTCTATGAATAACAATCAAACACTACACAAGTACAAATTACAAAAAAAACACATATTTACACATAAAAAAACACAAAAAATACACTACTTTTACAACTTCGAGGACATCCAAGAATTTAAAAAAAACTAAACGGAATCAATTCGTTATTCAAAATCGAGAGCGTATTATTTTAAATAGTAGCGACCACGCCCGTACCTCTGAAACGCAACGCTTTATCAACACACTGGAACAAATGTCGAAACTAATATGTAGCATACGGGTGGCTATATACAGGCTGTTATACGGCATCATCCAATTAAGTGCATATTTACACCCCGTATGAGCACCTAACATTACTGCCATGCAGTTTGCACGTGATATCGTCTGTGCGCCATATCGATGTAAAGATATGTAGCCATTCTCTCGATACTCCAACTATTGAGCTCCCGATGAATACTTAACGTATCGTACTGTATAAGCCGATTTTATATTGAGTATGTCCAACTGACTGAGGTTATTATACTGTGAAACAATTGTTTAATAGTAATAGCGAGTAAGAGAGAGAGCTTTTAACTCGCTTTATTAAAATAACGGGCCATCTAATTCCATCCGGATATCAAAATAAAAAGAATTTACTTTTGTCTGTGGATCAATTTTAATAAAATAATTTAATCACTTCTATTCATTTATAAATAAATAAAAAGGATAACATTTAATCACAGTTTAAGAGCACAATTTTATTTTCAATTCGAATAAAATCATTACTATTGCTCATATTTCACCTGTATTCCTAATGAATGTTTAAAGGTAACAAAATAAACCTAATCAAATGTTTTCATTAACGATATAATTAACCACCAAACATACAATGGCATAATTGTGGCAGCTTAAACTAAACGCCAATAAGCACAATGTGAAACCGTAGATATTATTTATTTTAAAGACAATTAATTTTAATAGAATTATTTTGTATAACATATTATACTTTTCAGATCATACATCACATCATCAGCCTGTAAGTCAGCCCACCGCCACCGCTGAGCAAAGGCATCTTCTCACACGGAGAAGGTTTGAACATTAATCACCACGCTTGCTCAAAGAGTATTGGCGATTTCAAACTTATGATTTGAAATTATAAGGCCAGGATTCCTTAAGATGTTTTCCTTTACCATACATCAGTAGTGTCTAAATAATCAAAAAAAGTGACTCGGAAAAAGTCACGTTGGTAACTGACAGGTTTAAAACCCGTATTCATACATGAGAAGCAGGCGCCAAAACCTCAGGGCCCCACGACGACAAGACTAATAATAAGAAGAAAGCTAGTCATATACTTTATATACATGGTGTATTTTAAATTTCAACAAACTAATTTAGGTAATATTGACAAACAACTCAAAAGTATGTAATAACGAACACCTTTTTCACAGATTTATCAAACATATTAGCAACTTAATTAAAAAATATCCCAAATCATATTAAATTTATTGAAATATAAGGGAGAAATTTCTCCAATATGTGTAATCGTAGCACGTTCAACGCATATTTACATAATTTCATGAAACGTCGCTTCATATCTCAATAAAACCCGAACAATATTTAACGTACATAAGTATCTAGTCTCAAATCTCCAATAGCATTATTTTTCCAATAAATCTCTTGTCATCGGGAATTTAATAAAATCTTTTATTGAATAATGGGTGCCCACTTGATGCTTCGAAATCTCTGTATATTGGAAACGAGGTACAAGGCTTTCTTTCACTCTTTACACCCTTAGATAGATATAAATATATAAGTACCTCTAGGAATAAAGATGGTTATTTATATATGTTGGTACTTTCACTTGTTTTATTTTATCAATCCAATATAAGACCCAACTTTAACAGTAAATACAAAGAAGAACTACTTGCCGAAAATATCTAAAAATGTTAAATACCCTTTTTTTTCGGGGAAAATCTTTAAATGACCTCTCCCGCCCAGGGTAAGGCGAGAGAGAGTGTCAGACTCTTACTGACTGAAAAACCTCCCGTTCCTTTTGCTCTGGGCCGATGCCGCGATGACTTATTGCGTTTAACCCACAATCCCGGACTGAATTCAATAAAATAATTATTTAAAACATATCTAAATATTAACTGAATCCCTAAGGCATGAAGTCCATCTGTGACGCCGCTTCGTACATTACAGATTGTATGTGCATAGTAAAAAAAACGTAAAGAGCAAAAATGTATGCATACGAATTATCGTCAAGCTCAAACACTAAACCAAAAAAAAAATATAAAACAAAAAAATACGCATAACAATATTTTTCTACCTCTTTTATTACTCAATCAACATAATTTTCATACTTCAGTAACTTACACGCAGCCAACTATAAATTGTACTTACGCAGATATTTTGAGATCAAATCTAGAAAATAATTTCTCCTTCGTCTAAACAGACCCTCTATCTATTTTAAGATTTAGAGAAAATCATTGTAGACAAACTTCGTCGCGGATTAACAAGCGGAATTGTTTAAAAAACGCCTTCAAAAAATACTCTCTTCACTTTTTTTCTTACACAAAAGAAATCCCTTTTGGGCGATCAGAATTACAAAAGGACGAACCCAGACACAGGATACCTCGATATCTGAGTAGCAAAGGAATAAGTATTTTGGTACTAAAATAAGTTAATCGATATCAGGTAAATCTAGATACGTCTTTGATTTCAGACGTTTGATTCTGTAATAGGTACCAATTTTAGTATGAAAAGACCTACACAACACTGCTTTCGCCATATTTATTTATTTATTTATTTGAGACTTCATGCACAAAACACTGTACATAGGTGGACTTAATGCAATGAGCATTCTCTACCAGTCTACCTTTGGGTGATGCAGAGATAATCTGGTGGCAGGTGCAAGAAGCAAGCAAATTCAATTAAATATACCAAACATATATATAAAATTATATATTATACTTTACATACGTATGTATGTATGTATATAATATATACATACATTATAATACATATTTATAGGGCAGTAAATATATATATATATATATATATATATATATACGTATACGTATATGCAGTCATAGTCACGATGATTCCCCCAACCTCTTCAAAAGAAGCTCCCGAACTCTCTGCTTGAAAGACAGACGACTAGTCAACATCCTGATATCGGGGGGTAGCGCCATATTCCGCTTAAAGATTAGCGAATTAGATAGTGTTATTATGAAAACGTTAAAGAATACTACTATTAGGTATTAAAGTAATTAGATATAAACTTAACGAATCCAGGTACTACGAAGAAAAGTATCTAAAAAATTACAATTCATTCATTAATCTCATTACCAAAACTACTAAACAACAGGTCTTATGTTCTATTTCTTTCAATATAGAATAAGCGAAAATGATTCCTATTATAACCCTACCTAATTAAAATAATAAATTACGAAAGCAACCTATTCTAGTCACATTATCTATTGGTTGATTCAGTCGATATCATTATAAGGTACCTACATAAATCGTTTCCGAAATCAAGATACACCTTATCACCTATCTACATCATCAACGGAAACATCCCCACAAAACACAAACTTAAGCATTTCAAAAGGAAGCCAATTCGAAAACATCTTAGAATACAGCACAAAAACTTGATAAAAATCTTTATTGGAGAGAAACATTAAAGGATTGGTTTAAATAAACCTTACTACAGTGAGGTCAAAAAGATAACGCTATCGTTGTCTTTATGTAATATGTAAGGTAAAATAAACCTAAAGGTAATATCTAAAGCCGCAATAAAATGAACCTTTATGATAATATTGTACGCCATGTTAGGTAAATACAGTCGTGCATGCCGCGGAAATATGAAACTACGTTGAACTAACTCAAGATTTAGTATTGGTTGTTCAGTTTACCTGTTTGTGTGCTAAACTACCTTAGTGAGCTTCCAACTTGTATTATGTTGTAGCTCAAAACTAATGTGTTTAGTTCATGTACTATTTATTTATATAAAGCCTGTTCTGAGATTATTATATGCTTATGGTTTCACGTAGATATTACACAAACATATCATTATTAGTCTTGAAACTAATTTCAGAATTAGTCGCTAATAGACAGCGAGCTACGTCTACAAGCAATTTAGTGTTGAAGCAACGAATTCTAGCTTAGACATGACCATTTTGAACATGTCTAGACTTCATAAATTTGGTGTATTTCGTGACGTAGATATGGACAGATTATTATTGTAGGACACAAGACATTTTGATTAAAAAATAGAACCTCTTTTTTCTTTATGGGGATGTTCCTTCAAAAGGCGCCTAGCTTTTGGGGGAAAGACTAGGGAATGTGAGATTTAAAGGTCTAGGTCTTCTCAGTAGACCAATTTTGTTATCAAACAAATTGAACCTTTTTTAGTCCACCAAACCAACTAGACAATACAAATGACACAATAAATATTTTTTACGTGTAATATTCATAAAACTGGAAGTATTATCAATGATACATATATTTTATTTCCAAACAAATGTGTTTGTAAAACCGTCTTTATACAAATATTTTATTGTACGTAAACAGTGTCCAGTGTAAAGGTTACATAACATTCAAATCAATACAAAGCTTAGACCATCGACTAGCATTTATTCTCATCGAAGCGACACACGAATTTTCGTCATAAGCTCCATCTACTAAACCTTTATCAGTGCAGAGCTATTCAAAAATCACCTTTATTGTCTAGGATATAAAGCGCTATGGATCGTTACACACGTGAATCGTTTCACAAGGGTTATTATCGTGACTGAAGCTTTGTTAATCCTTTCTATTCTGTAGCAATCGATACGTAGGATTCGTGCGTGACAGTGTAATATAGGGCTTTAAAAATGTTTTTAATAATAGGATTTGCGCACCTGAACTCAGTTTAGTTGCCTATCTAGTGACTAATTAGTTTAAATTTCTGACTTTATTTGAGGATTGAATGTAGTGAATAATTTTAGATTTACGGTTTCATATTATGCTACTTTATTTTAAAGAAATAATTGGATTTTTTTTCACAATTGGATTTTCTCCTGTATCGTTGGTGCGTAAAATATGCAACGCCTGAAAAAGGTCGTTAAGCTCTGCTTGCTATTTTCATTTAAGATCCTTGTACCTTAACATGCAAATAAAAAATCTGAATTTGTATTTGCGTATACAAACATACAAATTCACTGATACACCACACACAGTTCCAAAACAATAATTTGTGGATGACTAAAAAAGTTGTTCCTTATGGGAATGGAATCCGTGAAACGCCACATCGCAGTCAGTTGCCCTGTAACTTCGCCAACCATACAGACAATTTAAATTAATGATCTCAAATGATCGAGTATAACTGCCATAAAATTTGAATTGAACGGGAAACGCTGTCATATAATCAATTGAAATAAAATTTTGCGACATAAAACAATTAAGTTAGGGCTGATTTTTCAAAGATAACAGTTATCTAAGGAATAATTATGATGCTGTCGCGTCAGAATGTTTGTATAAGACAGTGATAGCAACAGATAACATTTATCTGACTATTGAAATATCGACTCTAAGTAAAATAGCATTGCATCTATTACAATACAGATCATAATGTCACTAGACTAGACTCACAGACGCAAGTGATATTTGTTTTAATCGTCACCCTCATAAAATTTTATGTTAATAGTACTTTCTTTTTATTTAATTAAATTAAACTTTATGCAGTTCAAATGTACCTAGGTGAATGCAATGTCGACCTTTTTAGAGGATAAAGCTATGCTTATAATATAACTTTCCCCAGCCGTTTCCCATTTAATTAATTATATTTAATATTGTTAATAGGTACCTACGTATGGTGGTAGCATGAAGATTAAGCCACTCACTTCTCATATGCGCTTTTCCGAAACCTGGCAAGTGCCAATGTGGCTTTTTCCGTTTTTAAAAGTACTTTCTAAGATTATTTAGACACCATTGACATACGATGAAGATGAACATCGTGAGAAAACCAGGCCTTTTGATCTCTAAATATACAGTTGTGTGGGAGAGCCATGCTTCAGCACGAATGGGTCGGCTCGACTGGAGTGACCACGGCCTCACAGAAAACCGGCGTGAAACAACCACAGTGTTGCGGGTGTCCATAGGCGGCGCTGATTACTTACCATCAGGTAATCCGCCTGCTCGTTTGCCGATCTACTACATAAAAAAAAAAAGTTTGGAATGGATAATGCGCATTGAGCGAGCGTGGTGAACATCGATGTTCATATTTTTTCTAATTGGGCATTTACATGATGCTGTGGATAGTAACATTATATATAAATGAAGCACCGCTATGAACTTTTGCAACTCTAAGTAAACGATCTAAACACAACAAATAAGTGCCGTGGAGTATGGCAAGCATAGGTCTTCGATCAGCAAACTTTCCCCTGACTTCCAAAACTTTCCATGTACTTATCTCCAAATGTTGCAGTCAAGTCTTCCCTATGCTTCGTCCCGTGTTCGATTCCCAACTGAACTTTGTTGTCACGTTAAGTTATCTTTGCACGTGACTTGTTTGGGATTCAAGATTTGTTTTAGTTTCGGGATTAGCTTTGGAAAATTAGCAAGAAGACGATACGGTAGTTCTTTTCTAAATCATATTTAGACGAATTTAAAAAAAAATCTAGATTTCGGCTGAGAATTTCTAAATTAGACAACCTTAAGAAGCTAATTTCCAAGAAACCTAATTGTTTTTTAGAAAAGGTATCCATCACACTTACCTTTTATTAATAAGAGACCGTTTCAACGAAAACACGTTGTCCTAAACCAATTCCAAAACAAAACAAAAATAAAGTTACAGCAACTTGAATCTAAAAATATATTTGTAAGGCAAACAGCAACTTGGCTGTGCATCTGTATGACTTCATTAAATCCTTAGTTTGTGTCACAGACGGACGAAGCGGAGGCTGCGTTGGGTTTACGTGTAAAGTTTTCCTCATAAGCTCACCGCAGGGCGCTCCCCTATCAATTGCCGTGATCCCGTGCCCCGCGCACCTCTTCCCCTCCCCTCCCCTTACTGCCCAAGCAAGCCCCACTAATGATTCCACTTGTTAGGGCTCAGCACGGACCTTCGCCCGTGTCACTCGGTGAATAACAAATTCCTAGCTGATCCCACTTTGCCACCAGAACTTACAAACGTACGTCATAATATGAAGTTTGAGTGTGTCATTGTAACGTTTCTCTTGTTGAACTTATTATTATTGTCTTGTGTAATTCTTACGACATATTTCAGAGATTGGTCCAATGTCTACATGACAAAAAAATGCTAACATCATCACAGGACTTAAAGCCAAAGTTATTAGTAAAACGTATGATAATTATGATAAAAAAGACAGACACGCAAAATGAAACTAAAATAAAATATACAATGTTTCAAAAACATTTTCATTTTCGCTCTCAATAATAATTCTTAAGTGAAAAAGCGTTTGAACTGAACATGAATATTAAAAACACAACACATGCTCGGTAGGAACATAAATTCCAGTTTTAATCTGCCAGACTCATACTCAGCTGACATTCAATATCAGAGATTAATTACATGCAAAACTTACTGTCGAACTGTTGCGTGGCTTGTGCGAGGAGTGAGGCGAACACTCTGTCGGCGAGGGGTGGGGGTTGCGGGGGGCGGTCGTCGTCGCTGCTGCTGTACCTGTCGCCGCCCCACTCCAGGGAGCGCTGGCGCCGCACGCCGCCCGGCCCGCTCGGAGCGCTAGGCAGCCCGCCCGACAGCCCGCTCAGCGAGCCGGCCTTAGCCCGCCGACCTGGCCGCTCCATCCTCGACGTGCTCATATCATTGTGTCACCACATCTGAGGACAAATTAATAAAGATACTTGAATTAATGCCTCACGTCGAGAGAAGCAATTTTATTGCCTCGTCGAGTGAATACTTCAGACATTATCCCTATTAAAAGAAACATTGTAGTGACAAAATATGTTCACATTTATTAAAAGCGTTGGCTAGCTCATAGCAATCACATAGACTTTTATAGGACTGTGTAACTTTCATGATGATCTGAGCATCATAAGAAGCCCACTAGTGGAAACATGGGTGAATAAATGTTTTTGGTACCTAAAACCTCTTACAACCACACTCAGTAATAAGCAGGTACATTCGTTCATCATACCGTATAGAAAACTTTTCCCACAAAACAAATAAAATGGCCTTGCCTTGCCCAAGAATGAAAAACGATTTACAATCCAAAAAGTTTAGCACTCGTTAATTCGAGATCTACCACTGCCCACTGAAACATAAGCCCTTGCTCAAACAAAAGAAATCGACACGATATTTTATCAAAGCAGTTACAGCGTCGTGAACGGAAAAGAACAACTGTAATAAAGAGCCTACAAGTCGTTTGGTTAGCGACCCTACATAAATAGGAAGTTTGCGCCAGAGGGCGTGCGTGTTGGAGCCCTAATCCAGTGGATTGTGCCGCGGTGTCGCCCGTGTACCGCGCCTTCCAACATCATTTCTAGTATTGACTTAATTTGTAAAAGCTTAGTTCTACTGGCCGGCGACAATTTAAAACACAATTTAAAAAGTGTCAATTATATTGCAATACTGAGCAAACAGTCAACAGATGCTTATGATACCTGTGTATAGCTACATACCGACATATTTATGAGGAGGCTTATATCGGCATCCAGGAAACAAGTCGCCATCAATGGTAATAAATACAATAACGCAACACTAATCCATAATAATGTCTCTGATATGAGGAAAATGTGTGACTATATTTGAGGGGACTGTTCTGTGAAATTAATTGGGTTTGGCTAAAGGTAGCGTTCACCTTGATGGCTTTTGTTTTTGAGATTTTATGTACCGAATTTAAGTACTTTTACGGCACATTTCGTTTGTATAGTATTGCCTAATCTACCAAAATTTACGCAGTATTTTGATAAGTGTGACCTCTGAAGTATCTTCAATTATTGTTAGTGCATTGCCCTCTTGTTGGTATCATGGTGATTAGTACTTTATCATTCATGATGATAAAAGATAGTTTTCCTTGCACAGAATATAAGAACAGAATATAATACTGAATTTTGAACCTAGCCGAGTACCAGCGAAAATCTAGCAATTAGTAATTTATTAGATTTAAAATATGTACTTCGTAAAAGCACGGAAAGTGTAAATATGAATAAACTATTCATGTTCCTTCAAAAACTTGCCATATTTCCATCCAATCAAACAACCCTTCTGCCCACAGGAAACAACACAATTTATAAACAAAATTCACAACCAAATAAGTATTTACAAATCCTCAATTATCATCAAGGAATTATTTATTTTGTTCCCTTAACGATAAGATACTAAATCTAATGAGTTTTCGTTTAATGTAAATACGAAGTAAGCATTGTATTTAAGGCGGGCAATTGTTAAGGTTTACTGCACTCATTTCTCATTTCGTATCGGCAGAATAAACAGAGGCGGTTTCATTATAGATTCGCCGACATTCCACAGAGATACGAATTGTTTAGACATTATTGAGATTTAATAAAAATTCTTTAGCAAAACTTTGCGTTAAGAATTCGTGTTTATGGTTAGTTCAAAACCTAAAATATGAAGATTAAGGTGTTTTATTGTACTATAAATTAGATTCTTAATATAGTATCACCCTTTACATATTATGACTTACTTATTCAATTACTTCTATAACATATGAAGTCATAATATGTAAAGAAGTTAACAACGCGCAATTATGCTCCTTTTTGTCTAAGGGTGATACTATATGAACAATCTAATTTATTTATACAAGTATGTTCATCTAACTTCATATGTTAGAGAATTACTTCTATAGCATATGAAGTTAAATATGTAAAGAAGTTAACAACGCGTGGGTTAGCATTTAAAGTTTTAAACAGATAAATACAAATATAATCAAATCATTTTTGTCTTTTTGAAGCGTTTTAAATTGTAGAAAAGAACTTAAAAAAATAGAAAAGTACATCTTCATTCGAGGCGCACTTTTCCTTCTCAAATTCAAGAGAAACCGTTACAAGATTAGCTCTCATTAGATTACCATCTTAATTCTATTTGCCCGTGTTTACTGATTACTTTTTCTATCGTGCTATTAATTAAAGATTAATTAATGAGTCCTGTCTACTGCGCCGTGGTTCATCGTCTACCGTCTGATGGACCGCTCGGTTTAATATAAAGTAGGCTGTTGTTTACTCGGCTGTGTCGCAACTCGCAGCGTTAATAAATACCAGCTTCCCTTCAGACAACTCTGTTCTCTTTTTATTCAATATTTACTTTTATTGTGACGGGATTATTGGACTTTTTTAAATTTATTGCTTTTTATTTAGAATCTAAAATGACGGTCTGCCTAATGTTGGAAATTGTGCGTGCTTATTATTTAAATTTATTTCTCGCGTATTTTATTTTATAATTGAATTTGAATAAAGAATTTATTAAAGCGTAAACGCAGTTTCGAATGTGGCAACGGAAAATGAACCTTGTAATGTAGGTATTTCATAGTATCAATCATAATATTCCAATAAAATGTTGTTTGTGTTGCTATTACATTCTGTTTGAAGAATCCTTCCAGTTTATTTCTATTCGAAACAAACTAATATCCTGTTGCAAATACACGATAGATACATTATTTGTTTTGTTGGCAATTTATAGAGAATTTCATTTTAAACCGCTTGAGTTTTCATACGAAGCAATTTGTTAATATCGTTTATGAAGGCTGAAAATGGCATTGGTCTGAGAATTATTGAATTACTCTTGCACGGCTGCACTTATATTATGTTATCGTTTATTTTCAATAGATTCCAATAAAATGTTGTTTATAAAACAATAAATACAATACAAACTGTTTACATATTGTCCGATCTATCACATAAACAACACTTTATATAAGATATTTTTAATAGACAACTACATTCATTTGCCAACAAAAGAAGTTCCGCACAATCATAAACAATAAGCGTTGGTGAAAACTGCCCGTGCCGAAAAAAAACAAACTAGTTTAACTTAAACTATTACAGCATCATCCAACCGCACGGAACGCGATTGTGTAAACAGCTAGAAACATTGGAGGAGCACATTTAATACTTACTTAGTGACTGTTAAACTGAAAATTATTAAGGTCAAGTTATCTATTGCAGAGGCCAGGTGTAAAACCCAGATAACAGTTAAACCCTTCAGGAATTTTATGTTTGGCCCTCCACCTACCTTGTTTTCACGGGCTATCAAATTCCCCCCTCCCCCTTTGCGACCCATTTCTTCTCCCAAATTTCCGATATGTCGGTTTATTGTTTTGTTTTTTCAGTAACTTTTTACTTATACGATTCTGTATGGGTTTTAAAACTGGGGAAATTTTGCCAAGTTTGAAAATAAGAGTAAATTGTATTAGCGGATTTTGTGAGGTTTTATAAAAGAGCGTATTTCTTATAAACCTCAGTATTTATCAGGTATTTAGCACATTGCTACCATTTTTTGATAAATTGTTAATTATTCATCTCATATTCGTCATTCTTGCGGCGATATTGCTGCTATATTTACTGCAATCAGTTGGTTTGGATTCAGATACTAAAATAAATATTATCAATTGTGTAATGTCCAAAATAAGGGATTAAGAAGATTGTACTTAACTAAGCATGGGAGAGAGAAAAAACCGGCGTATAACAACTATAGAGTTCTATTTCGTCGTGTAAGTGCGGACACCGGGGCCAAATCTTTTCCCTATATCCCTAAAACCCACAACCCCTTATCTCAAAAAACTAGGAACGCACTTGTAACATCTCTGGTGTTGCCGGTGTACATGGGCCGGCCGATAACTTATGATCAGGTAATCCGTCTGCTCAATTGCCGGTGTATCACATAAATGAACTGAGGCTTTAAAACTGGAAGGCAAAAATTCAATGCATACATATTATATAATATTACACATCCTACAATGAAAAACTAGGTACAACTCTATATACCTCTTTCAAGAATCATACAATATATTAATCCATGTACTTCCAAATGATATCGCACGTTTTATTTCGACAAAATGCACGTAAGTTTTGCACTTGATCGGCTTTCCCATTCATCATTTCCGGACGATAGCAACATTAAGCCGATGACACGCATATGATGTCCATTGGCGGAACGTAATACTAGCTGGCTAACGTTATGGTATTTTAAGGTGAGTTTATATTGTCGTGTTGTACCAGTAAACATAGAATGTTAGTTACTTTTTGATTGATATTGTTTTAAAAATGTTAATAATGAACAGTTAATTTTAGTAAGTGGATATTTTTATTAGTTTACTATACTTTTTCTGTTTATTTTTTAAGACACAATCTATTCTACACTAAGTACTTAACGAAGACGAAAAAAAATACAAATGACATGAAGTACCATTGGTAATAGATAGAGAATACATACCTAACTACTCCTATGTAGGTACCTACTTTCTGTTTTTCATAAATTTAAATAAAATGATTCTAGAACTTTTGTGTTTTCTGTACCTAAATATATAAAGTCGCTGCTACACTTTACCCTCAAGAACTAGACGATAACACATTCCACCTACATAACACATCACAACATTTTCATAAGCACGACCTGCTTACATAAATTCTACATACATTCAAAACGGTTAAATGTTTTCTACCAGTGGATTTAGCAAGTCATTTCATAAATAAAATACATATAATTATCTATACTTCTATACTAATATTACAAAGAAAACTTTGTTTCTTTGTAATGAACAGGCTCAAAAACAACTGAACCGATTTAAAAAAATATTTCACTATTTCCGAAAGCTACATTATCCACAAAT